ATGAACTGGAAGATAAATGCCTCGAATAACTCGAAACAAAATCTACTTTATCAAATGAGATAAACATAAATCCATCAGATCAGATAAAAAATACATTTCTAAAACCTATTTTTTACCAAAAATTTCACGTTCTTAAACATCACCTAATGATGGACAATTTTATTGTCAATCTGACAATATGCACCAAGCACCATTTAGTTCACAGGATCTTCTGTTTAAAAAAAATGTGTCCAACACTTCTTGTCAAATTTCTCGACTACGGGCCATTTTAGGAAAATTATGTATAGATTAAACATTAGAGAGAAAAATATTACAGAAAGCAACTTTAATTTAAAGGGCAAATAAGAGATATATTCCATAAAGTAGAAAAATGACTCTCTATAAAGTACCCCCCCTCCTCCAGATATTCCAACAGAAAAATAAAAGTAAAAATGATTTGGGAAAAATTTGATTTATATATAATTTTAACTTAAGATTCCAAAAACATAAACTTTACTGGGCGATCCATTTCCAAAATAAAACTGCGGCTGTAAAACGGTAACGCACTGTGATTCGTAATCTGGATGCTATATCAACAAAAATAAAATTACTGCTAATACGGCACCCATCAAATCCAACAACGCACTATGCAAATTAATTAAAAATTCACATGATCTGCTCTAGGATTCAAAACCGTAGAAATTAAGCGGAATCATCTGGAAGTATTATCATTATTGCGTAATACAAATATTGCCAACAAGAATGACATTCTCCTTAGTAAGCAATATCAAAGTTAGATTGTTGAAAATTATTTTACATCTCTGTCGTTTTTTTTTTCTTATAATGCAATGTCTTTTGCTGTATTATCCAAAGGAGTAGTTGTTTTCAGGAGAAAACGGTTTCTGTGACACAGTCTTTAAAATTTTATTATTTTTTTTTATTTTGATCACTAATATGTCAAATTTAAGATTATTACTCAACCTCACTTACTTACCATAAATATGCTACCGAAAGTAAGTTCTTGAAGCATGCAGCGATAGACTGTTCGATTTTATACAATGGCCAAATTAATTGTTATATTCCATATATTTTTAAGCATACATACGAAAACAATTTTAAATTGTGCCAAAAATTGTACTTGTATGATTTTTATTAGTATTGTTTATTTTTTTATTAGAATCCAAGAAAAAAATTGTATCACTAATTTATTTAAACATTCAACATTAATTTATATTCCTTTTACTGATTCACTAATTTACATTGCAAATTTGTATTTGAACAGAATGAAATATTAACTATAATTGAACTCAGATGACAAATTTAGTCTATTTATATACAAATGTGGCGCTCCAACTTGTTCTCGAAAATTATAGACGTCATTCTACTAAGAATCAATGTTTGTTTGCCACGTCCACAAGAAGTGTTGAATCTAAACGGCTCGCTAACATTTTTCGGCAGATTCAGCGTATTCCAGAATAATAGAAGGTTACTCGAACCCGAACATGGGGTTTGAAGGGTGATTTAATTTATCGAATATTTGGTAAAAATGGAGACTGTAAAGTTTCAAATGAGGCTGAGAGGGACTTAAAAGATCAGATAAGGGCCGAACTGCTCAAAAATGGCTCGAATTACATAACTGAATAGGTTTATTCTCAGCTATTTTAGAGTTTTAGGACGAAACTAATTAACAAAACAGCAGTGTTTTATTTTTAACTAAATAAAGCATCGATTTTAAACATATTCATTTACTTTTGAACCCAACATATTTACGAATATACTCTTGACTGAAGTTCACCCATATTTAACATTTCCATCGGTCAAAAATAAAACACAGATATATTGAACAATTTATATATTTATCAACTTTTCACTTAATAATACTATCAACATACATTTTTAGTTTTTTACTAAACATTGCACATGTAACTAAAATCTAAAATCATTATCAGTCTATATGTCGAAGGCTTTTTTTTCCAAAAAGCACCAACTCAAAAATTATCGGTAAACTAGCGAAAGAAAAATTAATTGAGAAGCTTCTTTTAATTTTTTTACATTCTATACGTATACCGTGATATGCCAAAAAAACATTCATTTTTACACTGTACAATTATTTACAATACTATTAGATACTAATAAAAAGTTTTTGTACACAATAAATACCTAAAAACTGAGATCGCTTGAAAAATTTCGTTGAAAATGGTAATTTTGGAAAAAAAGTCAAAAATGGAACGAAACTAAATAGAATTCAGTTAATATACAGGTTGTTCAAAAATGAAAGGAAAATATTTTAACAGCGTATTATACAGGTTAAAATAAGGTAGAAAGTTCCTATAAACATACAGGGCGGTTCATTAGTGCGAGGAAGTCCAATATCTCGGTTGTTTTTGAAAATACGAGAAAATGTCAAACAAAAAAGTTTTATGGTTCGTAAAGGCGCCTATTGTAAACATATTTTCCAATGTGTCCCCCCAAAAGTACGGCAATATAATTTTATTTTATTTTTGAACTCTACTAAAAAATATATCTATGTATTTTTATCTGAAACACCAACTGCCTAAATTCAATTGTTTTCAAGATATTGACATTCGAAAATTTACTTTTTCACTTTAGCAAGCTGTAGCACCCAAACGGTTAAAACCAGGGTAAAATGGTTTACATGTTTCTGCCTTAGTATTTAATACTTTATAATATGCAATATAAATATAAAATAATCTACTTCCGGTTTAACCAGAAGTTAGACTTTTTTAAATTCAATTAATCCAAAGTGTGCATATGCTAGGATATGAAAAATTAAGATAGAGACATATAAACCATTTTACCCTAACTTCAAGCATTTGGGTGTTACAGCTTAAGTGTGAAAAAGTTTAATTTTCAAAAGTCAATATCTTGAAAACAATTAAATTTAGTTTAGACATAATGTTTCATACAAAAATACTTTTTTAGTAGAAATCAAAATTAAAATAAAATACGAGATGTTCCGTTTGAAGAAAAATTTTTTTTTATTTTGCCTTGCATTTTTGGAGCACCCTGTATATTAGAAAATATTTTTTTAATAAGCACCTCTGTAAACCATAAACTTTTTATATTTGACATTTTCTCGCACTAACAAACCACCCTCCAGAAATACCCTATAAAGCAGCAACGCGCTTTTGAAGAGAACCGCCTGAAGATTGTTTTATGACGATATTTTCGAAACAGGTGCCGATAAATACTTCAAAATTGTCTCTATTTAATATTATAATAAAGTGTTTTCTTTTATAAATAATACGGTATTTGATTACTTGCTTTTATCTATTTTTAAAATAATATTCAACATTTTTATGACTTCACACGATTTTACGCGATTCTCTCTGGCAATAGTGGCAATACTGAACGCATGGATTTGTTGCCTATGGACTTAAATATATGGCCTTCAAAAATATTAAAATGTAGAGGATAAAAACATGTGAGTAGTTTTTTTACACCACTCTATGCTAGTTGTGGCGTTCAGTTAGAAGGATAAAATATTTGAATTAGTTGTTACATTAGGAATATCAATTTTAAGAGAAACTCAAAATTTGAAAGAATTTATCGGTACTGGTTTCGAAAATATCATCACAAAATCATTTTCAGAGGTGCTCTTCAAAGGGATGTTGCTTCTGTAATTCATTTTTATAATTTATTTTCTTTTTTATTTCTTTTTCATTACCTTTTTAATTTCTTTTTTAATTTCTTTTTAATTTCTTTTTTGATTTATTTTTTAATTTCTTTTTTAATTCTTTTTTAATTTCTTTTGTAATTTCTTTTTTAATTTCTTATTCAGTTTCTTATTCAGTTTCTTATTCAGTTTCTTATTCAGTTTCTTATTCAGTTTCTTATTCAGTTTCTTATTCAGTTTCTTCTTTAATTTCTTTTTAATTTCTTTTTTAATTTCTTTTTAATTTCTTTTTAATTTCTTTTTAATTTCTTTTTAATTTCTTTTTAATTTCTTTTTAACTTCTTTTTAATTTCTTTTTAATTTCTTTTTAATTTCTTTTTAATTTCTTTTTAATTTCTTTTTAATTTCTTTTTAATTTCTTTTTAATTTCTTTTTAATTTCTTTTTAATTTCTTTTTAATTTCTTTTTAATTTCTTTTTAATTTCTTTTTAATTTCTTTTTAATTTCTTTTTAATTTCTTTTTAATTTCTTTTTAATTTCTTTTTAATTTCTTTTTAATTTCTTTTTAATTTCTTTTTAATTTCTTTTTAATTTCTTTTTAATTTCTTTTTAATTTCTTTTTAATTTCTTTTTAATTTCTTTTTAATTTCTTTTTAATTTCTTTTTAATTTCTTTTTAATTTCTTTTTAATTTCTTTTTCATTTATTTTTAATTTAATTTCTTTTTAATTTCTTTTTAATTTCTTTTTAATTTCTTTTTAATTTCTTTTTAATTTCTTTTTAATTTCTTTTTAATTTCTTTTTAATTTCTTTTTAATTTCTTCTTAATTTCTTTTTAATTTCTTTTTAATTTCTTTTTAATTTCTTTTTTAATTTTTTTATAATTTTTTTTAATTCCGTTTTAATTCCTTTTTTAATTCCTTTTTTAATTCCTTTTTTAATTCCTTTTTTAATTCCTTTTTAATTCCTTTTTTAATTCCTTTTTTAATTCCTTTTTTAATTCCTTTTTTAATTCCTTTTTTAATTCCTTTTTTAATTCCTTTTTTAATTCCTTTTTTAATTCCTTTTTTAATTCCCTTTTTAATTCCTTTTTTAATTCCCTTTTTAATTCCTTTTTTAATTCCTTTTTTAATTCCTTTTTTAATTCCTTTTTTAATTCCTTTTTAATTCCTTTTTTAATTCCTTTTTTAATTCCTTTTTTAATTCCTTTTTTAATTCCATTTTTAATTCCTCTTTAATTCCTTTTTAATTTCTTTTTTAATGTATTTATAATACCTTTTTAAATTCCATTTGTCAAGGGGATATATCTTAAAATATTTTTTGTAGTTAAGTACATCTGCAAAATTAACAATATTTTTTTTGTTAATACTTAAAGTTTTAGCCTTATCCCTGAATATAAATTTAACTACCAAACCTTATTCCCAAAAGTTTGTCATTTATTTTTAATATTTTTCATTGTCTACAGATATTTCCTTTTCACAGGGACGTAATTGATGTGGAATATCGTGAACCACATTTTATGTAAAATTTATTAATATGCTAAGCATTTATTTAATTTTTTTTGACTTTTTTTCTAAATTTACCACTCATTTCTTAAACTTTAAGACGACAATGGCATGTCGTCTTCATCACAGGCTACCGTCGAATGATTATACAGCCCTTGGGCCATCAATTGGATAGCGAGGGCGTTCTTTTGGCCCGAAGACTTTTTTATTTTCGCCCGTTTGTTCTGGAACCAAATTTTTATTTGGGCTTCGTTGAGACCCAATTCGGCGCTCAATTGTTGCCGCCTTCTTTCAGTTAGGTACCTGTTTTCGTTGAACTCGTGCTTCAGTCGTTGCAGTTGAGCGCTGGAAAATGCCGTTCTGGGTCGCTTATCTTCGGTGGCTTTCGGACTCTTCTTCATTCTTCGTGATCTCGGACCTGCAATAAAAAAAAACCAAATAAAATAGACGAATTTGGATCCAGAACCACCTTTGCAAATCCAGTCAGAACGGCGAACGTGCGACTAGTAAATACGTGCCCACAATAGTTTAAGTACTCGCCCAAATTAAGTAAACATGAATCTGATTACACTGGTCTGTATAGGCATCTGGAATGACGCGAGTTAAATATAAATATATATCAAAAAGGGCGACATTGTCTTAAATGGTCGTTTCACTGAAACATCTATTTTAAAATTGATGTACTCAACAAATTAGTGATGTTTTCGTCGTCGTAGAAAAAGTTTTAGAAACATTTTTTTGTGGAACACTTCATATATTGTTTAGGCAACTGGAATGACGCAAGACAAATACAAATATATTAAAAAGGGGCAACATTGTCCTTATACGGTACTTTCACTGTAACATTTATTTTAAAATTAATAAACTGACGTAGTCGGAATATTAGTGCAGTTTTTGTCGACATAGAAAAAGTTTTGGAAACCCTTCTCTAATTCCTCCTATCATCAGACTTGTTGCCTAAAAATAAAACCCTGTTAAAAACCACTTAAAGTCGGCGACGACAGTCGTTCTGATACTTTTTACCGTTTATCAGGGATTTTTAATTTTTGATGACATATTAATAAACGATAAGCACTCTGGGCAACTGAAAGGAAAATTATAGTTTTCGCTTTGATAGATTTTCTGTTTTGACTGAGCTGTTATTTTCGGTTCTTCAAGGAATTATTTATTACCCGATTATAACTGGATTGATTACTATTACTGTAAGTACGTCGTTATTTTGGGACAGTGGCTTGTTTTACTTTTTTATTTCTAAATATTATTGTTTTGGAAGCTAGAATATGTAGAAAAAAGTGATTTTTATCATTTTTAATAATTTATTTTTATTTAATAGGGCAAATACCCCCAAACATACCTCCTTGTATTTGTCTCGCGTCATTCGAGTTGCCTATACAAATATATGAAGTGATCCACAGAAAGTGATTCTAAAGTAGGTCATAAAAAATTACGATTTTGAAATATATACACCGTCTTGCAAATACGATCATCGAGCGAATGTAGAGTAATGGATAAGGCGTCTGCTACTGAAGCAAATAATTGCGTATTCGAATCTCGACTCATACGAATTCGATTTTCTTAATAAAAATACGTAGGTATCTTTATTTTTAAATATTTCTCTACTATCAGGCATCGTCGGTTATAATTACTCTGTATAACATAGTTCCTAATTCAAACAGTTTTTATTCCAATAATGAAATAGTTGGCTGTAAATCAGTTTCCGTTTTAAACGATTCAGGAATTTCAACTCAAATACTTTCAACATTCAACCACCGGCACCGTCACCGTCCTAGATTTCAACCCTCGATACATCACGCCCGTCGGTCGCTCACTAGATTTATCTTTAGATTTATTTCAGGGTAGCGAATACGTCCAGAGAGCGCCAACGCGTCCGCCTTATCTGATCCCGCTTGAAATACGGGAGCCGCAGACTAATTAGTTCGCAGTCAGGCTATAATCGAACGAAACAATAGAATATGCTTGATTAATTTTCGTCATCGACATGAAATATAACGCCATTGTTAGAGGCCCTGGTCCGTTTACAGTGATGACGTGTCGAAATAAAATGCTGCACCGTTTTTTTCTTTTTATCGATTTGAGATAAGAGACAATGAGCCATTAAGGCCTACTGGATGGGCTCGATACCTTCGGTATCTAACCATAGGTAATGAATAACACAATAGGTATGGTTATTTGAATTTGAAATGGTGCTGGTATTAGTGGAAAACATGGGTTGGGGTAAATAAAGGTGTTTCGTTATTTTTATTCCTTTTTTGTTTTATTTATGATAGTGGTTAGAATGTAACTAAATATGACTCGTATCTCTGTCTTTGTCGGTCATGGTTTACGTTAGAAACATTTTCTTTCTAAGTTTGGCTTATACGCTAATCAACTTATCCTCAATTTAAATATAAAGCTAACATTAATCAAAAAGTATAAAATATTAATATGCGCAAAAATATAAAATATGAAATTTAAAACACAATTTATTAAAGAATTAATTAATGTTAGCCCTATATTTAAATCTAAACTGAAATCAAAATGCAAGTCCCAAAATCCAATACTTATTTTCAAAATAAAAAAAATACAATTACCTAACTAAAGGTTATAATTATAAACATGATGACAAAGAAACGCTAGCACTGTATTCATCGCGCAGCTAATACCGGGTCTTCAACAATACCCGACACCCACGTGATCTCGTAACATCAACGAAAGTGCCTTATTTGACGTAAAAGGAACTAAACAGAACTAACTGTCCTGTCAGAAATGTGACTGGCGTTCACTTGAGGACTGACGATATTTATATTATATTTGTTTACATTTTATCAACATTTTTATTCAATTTTTCATTTAATATTAATAAACCAATCAGTTATATTTAGAGATTATTGGTAGCTTAATTCTTTTCTGTTGTTAAGTATTTACCCGTAAAATTTAATGAATGTATATAATTTATTTCGGGTAATGTTTACACACAAACCATAGTAGTTTGTGCAACAAGAGTGGATATAATGGCCATATCGCAAGAAGACGAAATCTGAGCACGACGCTGTAAGCGGAGTGCTCAATCATCTAAGTCCGATGTGGACAATCCACTCGAGTTGTACAGTATATTTTTTCGACGACCAACCAACGAAAATTTACAAATAAAAAAAATATTTTGGACAAAATAAGTAATTTTAAAATAATTTATGACATTTAATAATTTTTAATATAAAATAAACGAAAAAAAAAAAAAGAAAAAAGTTTATTTCATTTTTCCCCATCCGAGAATCGAACTCCAGTCTTCCGTTGGGAAGGCAAGAACGCTAACCACAGGACCACCTATTCTTTTATTTTTGATGCTTTAATACTTGTAATTAAATTGACTTCTTATAGTTTTATTTAAATTAACAAATTATTTATAAGTAATTATTGACGAAATAAAAACAGAAATGCTAATATTTATCGATTCTACACAAAAATAACCCATTTTAATGTATGTTTAATCTTAATAACTAAAAAATATACTGACAATTAGTTTGACAGAATTGTCACTTACTTAAAATTTTAAAAATAATAGCAGTCGGTTGATCAAAACATGAACGGTGATTGGTGGATTTCATTTTTTTGCAGTGTTCTTACTATCTAGAATGGATATGAAATATATTCGTTCAGTTGAAGGCAATAGCATACTTTTTCGGTTTGTAATATGTGCGTAGATAAGCTAATATCCATGTGGGTATAGAAAAAATGATTTTATTTTAATGGATCATTTTCGAAGTGGAAATTAAAATACTGAAAGAATCTGATGGTCACATTTAATTCATAATTGTATTCGACAACTTGAGGAACGTTTTCCAAGTGAATAAATGGAATAAGATTTTTTTGTCCTCATAAACAAATACTTGTTAAAAATTATAAAGAAAAGAAAGGCTCACAGTAATAACAAAAGCTATTGAAGATGTGCAAATTCACATGGTGGAAAATCCCAATAAATTAATGACTGACTGACTAACTCTGACGAGTGAAATTTTAAAAATATTAGTTTGTTTGTCGCTACGAACTAGCCATAAAGTATTGACATTTCTAATTTAATTATATTTTAATGCATAACATTTTTTATTCATAACTTTCCTTGTGCCCTGTTCTGGCCAAAATTTTTTTTGTAATTGTCACAATAAGTGTAAACCAGTACGAACCATATTTCCTAATTTCAATTTATTATTCTTTTCGTTAAATACTAGACACAAATAGCACAGTTTTTAAGGTTATGTTAATTATAACATAACACATTCAATTTTCAAAATTTTGAAATATTTTCTTTCATTATGACAACTTTCCATATGAGTATATTCACATACTCCGATAATTTATATAGGTCTGAAATATAGATTGAAAACAAAGGGGACCAAGCACAGGGCTTTGGGGTACTCCTGATGTCGTCGTATTGGTGGTAAAAAGAGCTAAGCCACATTTTTAGGTAAAATACGGTGGTGAAAAGAGATGGGATTTTGTAATTATAACCTTAAAATCCGTCAAACTGTGAAAGAAGCTAAGTGAAAATACTTATATTTCTTTTAGTGGAAAAATATATTTAAGCGACATACACTTCTATTTTTTTTTTTTAATCCTTAAAATAAAGGATGTGTTTCCGATTGTAACAAATTTTATCATATGCAGTAAATAAATAACTCAGATTTAAAAGAAACGTTTTTTTGGCCTAAAAGTTAAAAATGTATTAACCCGTTTTTTCCATTTAGGAAGTATAAAGCTTTGCTCTTTTTACCATTACCAGTACGACGATGTTACTTACACACATGAAGTTAGACGATTTCTCTAGCGTACTCCGACTCATTATTGTAATATCATAAAATATAACTATTGTCCTCAAATTCTACACAAAAACAACCACAACCATTTCATTTAGTTGACCTCACAATATAAACCATTCATGAACTCAAAATTAAAAATTCAAATTCGGTATTCCACATACAACTAATTGACAATTGTTTTTACAAACTGTCCACTTCTGTCCACAGTCTACAAATGACATGTACCTTTAGTTAACATTTGAGACGAATAGATGACGCCATCGTTGCTGCGGTCGTTGCGTTTTCTATCTTTATGTCCCTAATCTCTGTATTTGTACTGACATTCGTGACATTTCAAAAAATTGTCGATAATATTCGTACCACATAATATCATATTACCCTTGACAATTTTGACAAATTAATATGAGTTTTATTCGTTATGATTTTCTCAGAAAAAATAAAAACTTTTTAATAACGTACAATATAATATGAAATGAAAAAAAAATTATTAAAAAAAATTATATTGAGCATTTTATTTGTTCCTTCATTTTTCCATTGAAAAATTTAATCCGCATTGCGATATTAATAAAAATAAAAAATATATAATTTTCACACCGTAATCAAC